TTATAATCATGTAAATCTGTCAATACGTCATTCAACACCTGTCATGCGACGTGAAAGGTTATGACCTGCTTTGCTTTATTTTCTCTTTTCGGTGCAGAAGCTAAGTCAACCTTGGTTCAAAATATTTTAAATAAACATTATAATTTCTGATTTTCTTAAAATAATTTTGAAAAAATGATAATTGATTTTTAAAAGAATTTCAAAGTGAGATTTTCATCTTTTTTATAAAATAGAAAAAAAATGGATGCTATAATCGATAATCTGTCAATTTTGCTGACTCAAAAAAAAAAAAAGAAGCGATTTTTAACGAAAATTTCGGATGTGCTTGGAATGATTAAAAAATGTAAAAAAAAATACCCCCAAAATACTTTGATCTTTCCTCTTTATAATAACATGAACATTTAGATGATAAAATTTTGTTTTCGTCAAGTTTGGCGTCTTTTTCATCATGCTATGCTCTTTTTTAGCGATCTCATGGAGGTACCTACAGGGTGAGATTCTGTTTCATTAGTTATAAGCAGATTTATTAAGGACAATAAAGAAAAAAATACTATTCATTTAAGACTTCATTTTGAAAAAATAAACGCATTTTAAAATAACACGCGCGAAAATCGCGCAGTAATCAAGACGAGTAAGATACGAAAAGCTGTAAAAAGGCCGTTAAGTAAGCTTCCGCACATTATGACGAGAGGAAAACGTATGTAAACAACGGCAGTAATGGCAGCCGGACAACGCGAAAGAGATCGAACTTACATTGACGATAAATCGAAAACGGTAATCAAGCGCAATGTGTTAATGTAATTTTCGAAATAACCAGACGATTTCACACCAGAATGGTATATATTCTCAATACCAGGGGTTCTTGGTGTTTAGTTTATACTGCAAATTAACCGTGTAAAAGTTAAAACAAAACTAACGTAATTCCAGTATAATTAATTAGATTTTTAAAAATGTATTCAGTTTTCAAGATTCGTCTAATAAAGAAAGAGAACAAACTGAGAATAAAACATTTTCGCATAACTAAAATATTTCATGATGTAAAAATACATTGTTAATTTTAATTCTTCGATCGATACTAAAGATGTTTTTCGAAAAAATAAGTATTTTAATTTTTGTAAACAAAGAAATTACGTGAAGGTTGAACTTACTTACTTTCAGCTGATATGTTTTCCCCTTTGAAACAAATAAAAATTAGAAAAAGAATTTTTAAACAGACTATTTTCGGGTAAATTACGTTTTAAAAACACAAACGTCATTTACAATCGATACCAAATGTTTTTTTCGAAAGAGCGAAACCCGTCAAGGGAGACAACTCATGGGAGATTCTGTTTCACTTCTTACACAAAAAGATCTATTTAATGAGCTGTACCTCCCTCCACAACAAAAAAAAAAACAAAACGATACATAAGGTTTAAAATGCATTTTTAAAAATGAAAAAATATTTCTGGAAGCTTTTAATTTAGTTCTAATTTCAAGCTTATACATTAAATTTAATATTTCAAATAATCAAAATACTTACAGTATTCCAAACTGAATTTTTAAATTTATTGAAATGAGTTTTTTTTTGTTTTTATCAGTAAAAACCCTAAAAAAATCGTCCATGTTGACAAATCTGTCAACACAACATAATTCTCTTAATTTCAAAAGTAAAATATACATTTCTGAATGTTTATTTGAAGAAGATTAGCTGATTTAAAGTTTACTTAATCCGATTTGAAACAAATATTATTTTTAGTTTAAAATATTGCAGAAAAGCATTTTTAAACATGGAGATAGGTGTTTTTATGAGATGTTGACAACACTTTCCATAGATTTGTGTTTAAGAATTTTTTTAAGGGGATCTTCACTATAACAATTACTTGATGCTTACAACGTGAACAACATTTTTATAAAAAATTTTAACTACCCAATAATCTCAAACATTTAGGGAAATATTCTATGTAATCTAATATTTTATTGAATTTTAGGTAGATTGACTTTATAGTCTTACTTACAAAACAGCTTGTTGATAAATGTTAGAAAATTACAATATGTTTTAAATTTACTTTGGTTATTGCCCTTATTTTGTGATAATCTCATATATGGATGTCCGTATTTACAATAATCAGCATATTTATACCCACAAAAAAATTTCAAAATTCTTTTCACATTTTCATTTATGATTAGAAAATATAGTTTTTACTTAATAACAATATCACCTAACGAGTACAGAATAATGCAGAAATTTAAAAGATTTAAACTTTATAAAATCAAAATTTTCAATTTTTGCAAAAATTCACTATTCATGGAAAAAAAAAATTTTTTTCTTAAGAAAATAGTTTCCATAATGTCTTATTTTATGAAGAAGACATATTATGGAAACTATTTTCTTAAGAAAATATGTTTTTTTTCCATGACTAGTGAATTTTTGCAAAAAGTGAAAATTTTGATTAGAATCATACTTATTATAAAATCCAGCTTGTGCGTGTGTGTGTGTCTGTTCGTTTATATATTGGATCGGATTTCCTACATTTTTCAACCGATTTCAACAAAACTTCACAGGACTACGTAAAATTACCTCATGGTGGTTCTGACAGCACCAAAAATTGGAAAAACACAATAGTTTTTGCACGAAATCAATTTGAAAACATGATTAAGAGGCATCACAAGAATGAAAGGGGGATAACTCATATCGAGTTATACTTATTATAAAACCCAGGTTGTTTGTGTGTGTGTGTTCGTTCATATATGGGATCGGATTTCCTACATTTTTCAACCAATTTCAACAAAACTTCACTTTTTTTTTTGGCAGGTAGTGTTTCTTATTGTCTTGCACACTTTTTCCTTTATTTTTACATTCAGAATACTTTAAAAATTCCATTTACAAGACAATTGTTTATAATAAAATTCTATTCAATCGGTAGACTCATAATGATTGAAAACAATGTTTTTGTTTGTGGTTGGGTTTGACCAATTCGTAAAAAAAAACTAATTAAGACATGCATGTCTGTCAACCTTAAACAATAATCTTTGTCAATTTTATTTTTCAGTTTTTATGATGGTCGATACTTGATCTATCTCTTACTGTTATATCCCTGGGTAACGCCGGACTCTACTGCTAGTAATTTATAAAGTTTTAAATCTTTTAAATTTCTGCATTATTTTGAAGATTTTCTATGGTAATATTAGCCATTTCTTTTAGAATTCATTGAATGAGCAGCTTGTCAATCAACGGTTAAAAATGATCTTTCTATTAAAACAATTTTTCAAGTCCAGTTATTGTTATTGCTCTTTCCAATGTTGATGGAGGTTTCCTTCCTAACTTTTTGTTCAAAGTAATGTGGAATGTCAACATTTTTGAGTATATCATTATTTTCTTTTTCAGTTACATGTGCTATCCATTTTAGCTGTTGCTGCCCTTGAAAGTCCTCAAATAGCATGTTTTTTTTGGGGTTTTTTTTTTTGCTGTTTTTATTTCATACAATTCTTTCTTTGCAATTCTATAGCATCAGTCCATGAGGTTTGAATATCCTCACTAAGATCTGCAGGATTCATTCATGAGGTCATTTAAAATTTATGATAATTTATATTTAATTTTTGTTTAATAAATTAAGAAAGAACTGTTTTTAAAAATTATAATTTATCAATAAAAAGCAGATAAAATTGTTTAGTTTTTATAATCATAGAAAATAGAAAAATTGGACTCACCATGAAGGAGAAATTAACATGCAAGTCATAGAAAAATTTACAAAAAAAAATGTGTAATTTTCTTTTTATTATTATTCACCAGAAGTATGAAAATTTATTTAACAAAAAATAAATGTAAAATTATATAAAAATAATTTGAGAGTAAATAGAAAAAAAATAATACACTAGACAAAGTTTGTTTATTGTACTTTCCTTTGAAGGGAGTGTATAAAAATTCATATAATAAAAAAATGTTAAATTATATAAAAAATTAATTAAAAAGTAAATATGAAAATAAACCCAGATATATAAAATCTGATGTTGTAAAAAAACAAAAAAAAAATGCCAAAAGGAAGCCTAGGAATTTATAAAAAAAAGATACATGTATAAAAATTGTTTTTCAAAAATTTGTAAAAAAAAAAAAAAGAAAAAAAAAAGAGGCTCAAGTCTGATGATCTCAATACCCACCAAAATAAAATTTGAGAACAGGTATGGTTTAAAGAGATACATTTTGTGATTTTTTTTTAACCAATGGGTAAAGTAAGTTATGATCCCATAGTATTCAATTTTTTATTCAATTTGGAACACATTTGTGGCTATTTAACAAGTCTAGTCTGACTATTAAAACTGAAGTAAAAATTATTTCTGCATATATTAAAGTGAGCAAAACTGAGTATTGAGCCAAAGACAAAACCTATAATCTGCAAAGCTTGATATATACTATTTCCTTTATGGGAAAAGGTGGACAAAGAGTTATATTGACTAGATTCTTCAGACATTATTAAGCCTGTACAGTCTTTACAGTGAGCTGCTCCCATAGTGACAGTTGTGGATTACAATATGACGATAAACAAATACTCAAACCATAACCAGTATCCCCATTCCCATGCTTTTTTCTTTTTTCCTTTTAAATCATTTTAGCTCAAGCAAGGCAATAATGCCACTAAGATGCAAAAGTTTATGGGGATGGGGGTTAGGTGCAAAAGAAAATGAAAAAAACTTTAGGAAAAGGAACTGGAAACCCAATCCTAAAGAGGCAACAAGGGATAAAGCTCTACTCCTCTTCAAAAGATAGGAGAATTGGAGTAGAGGTTTATCCATTGTATGCAAAGATGCGGTGATGCCAAAAGTTCACCAAACTAGATTAAAGGTCAACATTCCTACAAGTGCCATTAGATGGAAACTCAAAGCAATACATTGAATGATTTCTTTTCAGGGCCAGTGCAAGGGTCTCATGGCCCCCTCTACCAGGTGGTGGAACTTGTAGGGACCACGAGACACTCAGTTATGTCATAAAGTCAGTTCTCAGTATCTACCAATTCTTTATGGATAATCTACTTGCAAGTGTTATTTTGTCTCCTAACAGGAAAATGAACCTCTGAACATTTGGCCAATATGGAGAGAGGCCAATATGAAGAGAGGCCAATATGGAGAGAGACGAATATGGAGAGAGACCAATATGGAGAGGGGCCAATATGAAGAGAGGCCAATATGAAGAGAGGCCAATATGGAGAGAGACCAATATGGAGAGAGGCCAATATGGAGATAGACCAATATGGAGAGGGGCCAATATGGAGAGAGACCAATTGGAGAGAGGCCAATATGAAGAGAGGCCATGATGAAGAGAGACCAATATGGAGAGAGACCAATATGGAGAGGGGCCAAAATGGAGAGAGACCAATATGAAGAGAGGCCAATATGGAGAGGGACCAATATGGAGAGAGGCCATTATGGAGAGAGACCAATATGGAGAGAGGCCAATATGAAGAGAGGCCAATATGGAGAGGGGCCATTATGGAGAGAGACCAATATGAAGAGAGGCCAATATAGAGAGAGACCAATATGGAGAGGGGCCAATATGGAGAGGGGCCAATATGGAGAGAGGCCAATATGGAGAGAAGGCTAAAGAACTTTAGTGCTGGATGCATATATTTGGCTAATGACATTGTAAAAGAGTTAATCCCTTATTCATCTTAATCAAACTGCAAGATGGCCTGGTTGTTCATAATCATCAAGATCATACTGTACCTTGTCATTGTATCCCAGAGCCGCCACCTCAGCTCTCAATTGGTTCTGGTTTATTGTTGACTCCAATTGATATGAAACTAAATTTACCTCCAGATACAGTAAACCAAAACCATTCACAGCCACAGATTGTTACTTATATATTGTAACTTTAACTTTCAAAGGAAACTAAATTTGCCAAAGCAGAAAAGAAATACAAATACATTTGTATTAAAGAGTACTGGTAAATATAAACAAAGCAAACTGGTATAAAGCAATCAGTGAAGTACAATAAACGTGACTGAATTCTTATAGATAATTTTAGTAGGCAGACAAATCAATCAGTAAAATGAATGTGAATGAATTTGTAACAAGGTGAATGATGAGTTGTGCTAATTTAATTTATCCCATGTTATATGTATTAGTAATTGATAAAGGATTCCTTTCCTCTGAAAATGAAATGAATAAAAATACATACAATGATAACAATAATAAGATCTTGAGACACATTGAAATTAATGACAAGAATGTGTATTTTTGTTTTCGTGATATTATTTACAATATTGGTTCTGTGTGTGTTAAAATGTTCTCAGGGTAACTGTCTCTTTTCGTTTCTTTAAAATTTTAGGCGTACTTCTTTATAATTGTTCCGAGAATTTCATGGTGAAGGGAAGCTTTTGAAACCGTCAACTCTGGATTTTCACAGAGCAAAAAAGATACATCTGCATTTCCCTTTTTACTACTGCTACTGCTACTCCACTCTACTGACCACTTGTGACGGAAGGGTTGTTTTTATAATGATGAAATTTCAGGTTTATAGAATGTATCATCACTGGTGGCAAATTTCTTTTAGAGTGATGAAATTTTTTATCTTTCTTTCTAGAATGATGAAATATCCTTATCATCAATTATCACTGGTGGAAAGGTTGGTTTTAGAATGGTGAAGTATCATCAACTTTCTGGACCATAACAAATTCTTATAGATAAATCTGTACATGCAGACAAAGCAAAATATTTCACTGAATATTACCAGTAGTATACAGCAAACAGGGAAAAAAACTGAATGCATTTTAACAGAAACTGGTATTTCAGCCAACAGTACAGATTAATTTACTGTAATAGTTTGGCTTGTTATCAATATTTTATTACCAGTAAGAATTTTTATGTCTGTCAGATTCAAGCTCATCTGACAATCTAGCATCTCCCATCCATAATATGGTTGTATTAGATGCAGGACAATTTTTTGGTACATTTAAAAAAGGAAAGAAAATACGATAACCAAATCCTATTCCTGCATGTATCTGAGAGAATAAAAATAAATTTTCTTTGGCAAAATGAAAAAAAATGTTTTGATAAATTTAAAAAAAAGCAAGACAAATGAAAATATTTTCAGATCCCTGACAGTTTTCAGAATAAGGTAACATTGATATTAGATCACATTGATATTGTTATGGTCTGGTTCCTTGTACCACGGTGATAGTCCAAGGTAGAACCAATAAAGAAGAATGCAAACACAGGTATGGAATAACACGGATATATTACAAACAGGAATATATACAGAGAAGTAGAAGTGTTAGTATGAACAATCAGGTCAATGTAGTCTCGACTAGTATCACTATTCCAATGTCTTGCAGTAATTGTCTGAATGTGACTCTGTTTCGGACTGCCTCTAACTCGACTTTTGACTCAACTTGAACTACTGACTCTGCTTGAACGACTGACGCTATTTAGTAACTGCCCCACGCAGTCACATGTGGCACAAGGCTGAATTTAATGTGGGGTTTCCGAGCCCATAGGCTTGGCCCAAAAATATGCCCATTGAACTCGTATAAACGAGCTCAGGGCCGGTTTACCTCCCAGAACGAGACTCCGCCCCTCGGCGTAGCCTCGTTCGGGTTCCTCTCCACCTGAGGGCAGAGAGTTCAACCGAACAGTCAGTTCAGAAGTGGACAACTGACTCACTGCCTACTCATGAGGCGCAGTATTTATTAAGTATGGAATAGTCCATTATTATTATTATTATGGGTACGATCCCATAACAGATATTAAGACAGAGGATTAAATATTATTAAAACTGGAAGATTTATTGTTATTCTTAATCAGTAAAAAAAAATAAGATGTTTACGCTTCTTTTCATTTTCTTTCATCTGATTTGACTTCCTTGAGGCAATGCCCCATTAAAGAAAACAGGGAAACTATCAGATGAAAATGTTAGTTTTCAGAATAGATTCAACTTCGTATGTGATTGAGAAGAGAAAATATTATTAAAACTGGAAGATTTTTTGTTATTCTTTATGAGTGTAAAAAAATAAGAGACATATACGCTTCTTTCATCTTTTTTGCCTTCCTTAAAGTAATGACAAATTAGAGAAAACAGGAAAATACAGATCAAAATGTTAGTTTCTCTTATTAATAACAAGATGAAGATCTTCATGTAAATAAGAATGGTGTTGAAAAGTACTCAACCAGGCCAAGAAGCCTTCCAAAAGTAAAATGAAATCTATTTTGTCATAAACGTGTTTACACATACAATTTTTATTCATTCAAAAATTGTCATTGGCTACAATAGTCAACTTTTATTATGATAACAGCTGTATAGAAATAAATTGAATGCAGTTTTTGCATGTTCAGGGAATAATAACAAAATGTAGTTATTTGATTTATACACATTCTTGATATTGTAAATCACAAATCAGTGTTCTTTTCTTTGCAGTGTTAATTTCTTTATAGAATTGATTTCAGCATGAAATTTAATGAGTGCAGTAATTTTTGTTAATGAAGAACTTGTTGCAGTCATATCTTAAGTTCTTCATATTTATTAGTAATGTAGTTTAGTGTTGAAAAAATGGTGTTGTAAATGCATGTATCACTGCATAGAAGGTATTCCGCAAAAGTCCTCTGATGTATGTTTGTGTGACTAAAATAACTCACAAGGTACCATATACCTAAAACATTATTAGGTTGGAAGTCATGTCAGAGACAGTTTCAATGGAATTTATACTTTTAGATTGGATTATACTTACCTGGCACAGGGCTCATCCCTGGGCTGGTGGTATCATGGCTAGGACTAGTTTGGACAAGCTTCAGCCTGGACCAGCTAGGACAAGCTAAGACCAGTTATGACTAGCTTAGATCAGCTCTGACAAGCTAAGCCCAGCTTGGACCAGCAGTCCGATTGAAAACATTCGGGTCCCCACGTTAAAAACTGACCTTGTGTCACAACCTGACTCAGTGTTTCAAGTAAATATCTACTTTTAGAAGAACCTGTTTGAAATAAGATCTTATGTTGAGGGCTGATTCATATTCCCATAACATCAAAGATTTACAAAAAATATTTTTTAATTAGTTATTTAAATCATAAAAAAACTGAGCCAAATTTTGTCAGTCGATCTGATGTGTATTTTACAAACAGGAATAGATAAGGCTAATTTTTACAGAAGAATAACCTTTTTATACAGATACTGTGTGTGAAGTGGCAAATTTTGTCAACTCAGTTATGTGCCATGTGTCATACATGCTTAGGCGATCATGTATCTTTCGATACATGACTGACGAGGCAGATTTTTCCCACAGTAGGTTGCAATTTCTTTCTGCAGTAGACCATACAAGGCTATAGAACCTGGTCTGTCCTGCTATTTATCCATAGCTGTGAAGAGGATTCATACCTTTCCCAAGGGTATTAGCACATAAGTGAATGTAATGGATTCAACTGGAATTTGAACTCGGCTCTCCAATTCCTCAATCCGAGCCACTATACATTAATCCACCGTGCCTCCCTTTTCAGCTATAGCTGTTTTTTATTAACTAGACAGATATATGATTTCTAGATTATAATGACTATTTTTCAAGTAGCCTTACATTTTTTGTAGCAAATCATCTGGTTTTTAAACTGTGCAACTTTCATCTTCCTTTTTTGTTTTGTTTTTTGAGAAGATTCTGAAACTGAAATTCTTTCATTAATAAATATAAAATTTTCAGAAAACCTTTTAGAGGAAATTAAACAAAAATGCAAAAGAAATAAGGTTGTAAGTAGTGAAAGCAAGATAAGTTACAGAACAGAGGTAACAATTGCAGAAATCAAAGACAATATGTAACAAAGACCAAATAAATGTTAATATTTCTTTCCTAGAAAAGGGAGTGTGACTCATATTCAGTCAAACCATTTAAACTTTTTGTGAAAAGAATTATAAGCACATTTTAAACTTAAGCAATTATGGTGTCATCATTCAAAAATATACAATGTTATAACATTGTTATATCATGTTTGTTATATTAATATAACAATGATATAACATTGTTATATCATATTGATATGACAGTTATATCATATTACTATAAAATGATATAATTATTATATCATATTAACAATAACATTATTGTATAATGTTTGTTATATCATAATGATACAATGTTGTTATATCATGTTTGATATATCTCATGGATATAACATTATTATATCACAATGATATAACGTTGTATAATGTTTGTGATATCACAGTGACACAATATTGTTATATCGTGTTTGTTATATCACAATAAGACAACATTGTTATATCATGTTTGGTATATCCAATGGGTATAACATTGTTATATAATGATTTTTTTATATCAATGATTATGATGAATGCATTTGCATCTATTTTTACATTTAAGCCACCCATTATTTTGTTGTGGTCTGTAAAATTCAAAAACATTGCATCCCAAAATTGGAAACATATGAGCTCAATATATTTGTTTTATTATATGGCATGAAACATTATACAGACTTTCATTGACACAAATTTATTAAGAAATTCAAAGACAACAGAAAATATTTTTAATTCTTTTATTCTCATAAAACTATTTAATAAATGTTCAAAAATATTTAATCTAAAGTAGTTGTGTTTCTGATTTTTAGTTTGATTTTATACAAATATTTTATATATCTTGTATTAAATCACCC